GGCCCTGCACGGTATAGCTCATGGCTTCACTGAGTTATGCAAGCCCCTTCGCCACGACAAGGCAGTGATCCATGAAGGTATGGTGTGGATGGCAATATTATATGTGTCAAGGGGGAATCTGGAGACCCAGGAAGAGACAGCAATTTCTATTGCTTTTAATGTTGTAGACCATCCAGAGTCATCTGAGTTGGGTGGCTTTCTAAATAAATAGCAAGCAAGCAAGCAAGCAGGACCTATGACAGAGATCCACTGAGCAAAACAGTTGATGGAAAGGACTGCAGTTTTCAGAGAACAGACTAGATGTCATCAGTAGATACTGTACGATCTGGTAATATCTGCTTTGGTAATTACTCTGGGTGGTATCAGACTCTCCTCAAAGGAGTTGGCTCGTGACTTAGAGAATCTTCTGAATTGGTGGCTCTTGCTTAAACACCAGGAGGAAGTCATGGTCTGGAGAGCTTTGCCCAAAGCTGAAGCAAGATGCCCTGGCAATGGTAACTTGTTCTTTGTTCACTACCTAGCTGTGCTCTATGTGGTGCTGCCTTTGGAGATGATCCAGAAGCTACAGTTGTTAAAAAAATGCAGAGTTTAGACCCTCTTAGGCTAAAATAATGTGTATTTTAAAGTAGCTGCATTGGATGCCAATACACTTCTGGGCTCAGTTTAGAGATTTTGGTTATAGACTTTGAAGCCTTTTACACTGCAGCACTGGGATACTTCAGGCAACACCTTGCCAAAATTAAATCTGCTTGTCCAGTTGGGTAATCTAAAATTGCAGGTTGCCCCTCCTTGTGAGGTTCATGGAGCGTGAGGCCAAGTGACAGGTCTTCTCAGCAGTGACCCCCTTTTTATGGAACACTCTCTCCCCAGATGTATGAATGGCCCCCTACTCTACAGATGTTTTGAAAAATAGCCAAAATAATGTTGAAGATTCCCTAAGTCCATCAGGTATTTAGTCTTTAGGCTAGTTTAATTGAATGATGGATGTATTAGATTTTTACTGATGATTTTTATTATCTGTATATGATATTTAATGTCTTGCTTTTGTTCTAATGTTGAGAGTCTGCCCAGAGTCTGTTTGGAGTGGTTTAACAGTTATAAATATTGTTAAATAAATAAATGAATGCATTGTTTTGTGCTGTAAATGTGCATAATATGTGGCCATTTGGTTAGGAAGTTGTAACTGAATAACATCTGGAGGATTGCTCATTGTGCAAATGTTAATGTTAAGATCTAGGTTGGTGTGGTGAATTAAACTGACTTTTGAGTTTTGGCAAGGCCTAGAGCTAAGGAATATTCAGAGCTGCCCAAAGATATATTACTGTTTGCTATTCAACATCAAGCAATTCCCCCACTAACCCTAAATCCAAGGCCCTGCCAAGCTATTTTATTCATTCAATTTTGGTACTGCCCAACTCCAAATCTATTCTGGGCAGCTCACTATATTACAAAAGTGAAATAAAAATACTATAGAGCAAGTGAACAAGTGGAACGTCTCATCACAAAACACCCATACACATGCAAACATAAACCAAATACGTCTAACCAAGGGCTCCCCTCACCTTACCCCAAGGCCTGGGAGAACAGCCAGTTCTTTAAAGCCTTCTAGAACGCCATCCAGGTGGGAGCCACCTAGATCTCATGGGGGACCTCATTCCAGGGGACTGGTGCTGCACCAGAGAGGGATGTGTTCTGGGTCCCAAAAGATAACACTGTTTAATCAAGGGGGCCCAGAGCACACCCACTCTACCATTTTTTACCAGCTGGGCAGAAGCCATGAGAGATAGGTGGTCCCTCAAATATAAATGCCACATAAGGCTTTATAGGTCATAACTAGCACACTGAATTGCATACCAAAAACCAGTGCAGCTTGTGAAGGAGGGGTGTCACATGAGCACCCCAAGGCAAACCCACCACTGCCTGGGCCACTGCATTCTGCACCAATTGAAGTTTCTGAGTGGTCTTGAAGGGCAGCCCTATATGGATTGTGTTGCAATATTCAAGCTATAAGATGACAAGGGCATGAGTTACTGTTTGGAGGGCCTCCTGATCCAGGGAGGCATTCAACTGGTGACTCAAAGAGGCTGACACCACAGCATGGACCCAATTACAGGGCACCTCCTTGGCTTCCTTAATGATCCAAGAGGGACCTGGATCCAAGAAGCAGGTGGTTGAGCTAACAGCACAGAAAGCCCTATCCACTTCCTCGAGAGTCACGGACTCAAACTCATCCAAGATCACACCACCAGAGCGAGTCTCAGGCACCTCAGCCAGTCCTATCCAGTTGGAGTCCAACTCTGTGCGGATCTGAGTGACTTTATCTGTCAAATAGCCACAATATTCTTCACAGCAGCCCTGCAAATGATCCTGTGGCCCAACCCTACCTGGCAGGGCCTGGGTCACCCTAAGTAAGGCCACTGAATAGCTATTGGCAGACGCAATAAGGGCAGAGAAATATTGATGTTTCACTGCCCTTACTGCCATAAGATAATTTCTGTTATGGGCTCTTACCCATATTTGACCAGATTTGCTCCTAGTCTTCTTCCAGTGGTGCTCCATGTGTCTCTTCTGACACTTCATTTTCTAGAGCTCCTCAGCAAACCCTAGGTATGCCCCAGGATGAGCACATAGAGAGAGGTTGGATACAGGCAATATGGTCTAAGTCCCCACCCACCCACCCATTCCAGGTGGCAACAAAGGCCTCAGCAAAGCTGCCCACCAGTTCCTCAAGGAAAATTCCACTGGGGCCATCAGTTGCCTGGGGTGGGCTGATCAAATAGGTCCTGCCTTCCTGTGGAGGAGGGTAACTCCAGTCAGCTGGAAAGCAATCAGAGAGTGATTTGTCCATGGTAAGACTGATGTTAATGTCCTCCCCTGCAGATCACATTGCAACTGCCCCAAGACCAAAACCAGATCTAACATGCGGCTACTGGGATGCATTGGGCCTTGAATATCTCATTAAAAAGTGGCATATAAATTGATATTTAGTAAGGTGATCATGTTTTTCCTGTGATGGTGCAATGTTGATAGAAGTTTTTTTTCCAGATAGGATAATCTCATATTTTTTCTTGAGTTCTCGGGGCCTTGCCAGAACGGTTTTATTCACCTTGCTGCCAGTGGACAATGATATGTCATGCTACAGCTAATACTGATTGTATTCAATTTGTTGTTATCTTGATCTTTTATATAATTTTAAAAATACTTGTTCATATTTGGGTTTAAATTGCTTTGTAGAACTTGGGATATAAATATCTTAAATAAACTATGGCTTGGCAGATTAAAGTCCAGGGGCCATATCTGTTCTTGAAGATAATTTTATTTGGTTTCTAAAAGTTCCACTGAGTTTAATTCAGGCTGTAGTAATGGTTTCATTCGTTGGGTGGATGGGGAGCATTGCGAACTTGAATATTCCTGTTTTTATTGGGGGTTTTGTGTGTGTGTGGGTAATTATTATCAGCACAAATGGATCCACTGTAGGATATATAGGTTATGGATCATAATCTACTACACTGGGTCCAGTGTGGGCCGGAAAATAGATATTTTTCAACTTCCCAGTCTAGGGCTGAGTGAGAGTGCCTGGCCCAAGTCATACAGCCAGCTTGTTTTAGGAAAGACTACAACCTGGATCTCCCCTCCCCTCTTTCAGCACCTTAATCACTATACCACACTGGCTTTCATGTATGTATGTGTGTGTGTGTAGATATACCTATATATAAGTTATAATAGTCTTTTATAACCTGGTGCCGTCCAGATGAGATGGGTAGCGCATCCGACTGGTGCTAGGATGTGGAAGACTGTGCCATCCCTTGCTTTACAATACCAAACTTTTATGGAATGCAGATAAGTACCCTGATTCCCTATGCACTGAGTAATGAGTGGTTCTCAGATGTAGAGAAATTGTCCATTCAGGTCTAAAGTACTAAATTGGAAGGTGAAATGAGGTTAGAGGTGCAAGCTTTTCTGTGCTGAAAAATATTATTGAAATGATTAATAATATAAAGTTGATTTATTTTGGTCTATTTATTTATTGCAGACCTTTACTTTCCTGGATGCAGCTGTAGTCACAGTTGCTATGGAGAAGATCAAGGAGCAGTTTTCTAGCCTTCAAATAGCAAAACGGTGTTCACTAACAGAAGACTCATCTTACTTATTGGACATAGATATTTCAAGAGGAGAAGGGAGCCATTTAGTGGCTGTTTCTTGCTCCAATAAATCAATCAGAGTTTACAACAGGGAGACATTGTGCTTGCTACAAGAATATAATAGCCATCCTGCATTGCTAAATGGTGTCAGATTTGCACATGCAAATGAAAATGTGTTATTTTCAGCTTGTAGTGATGGATCAGTGAAGTGTTGGGATATTCGTTCATCTGTTGTCAAGCCTGTACAGTTGTTTTGTGGCTATCCTTCAAATGTTTTCATTAGCTGTGATATAAGCTGCAATGACCTCATAGTGTGTGCTGGCACAGAGAAAGTGGAAGAAGATGCATACATAACATTCTGGGATGCAAGAGGCTGCACAAATAGTGTTGCTTCCAGCAAACAGCCATTAGGTGTCTATTCAGAGTCTCATAATGATGATGTTACTAAAGTATGTTTTCACCCCATCAAACCACATTTGCTTATTTCAGGCTCAACTGATGGATTGGTAAATGTGTTTGATATTAACAAAGACAATGAAGAAGATGCTCTGATTTCCACTTGTAACTCTGATTCTTCTGTAAGTTTTATTGGATGGGCTGGAAAAGATTATTGGCAGATTTACTGCATGACACATGATGAAGGATTTTGTTGGTGGGATCTTACTCAACTGGATTCTGAAAAGTCAGTTACATTACTTCATATTCCAGATGTCAGGGAAGTAGAAAATATCAAACTGGATTACTTAATTGGTGGTGTGTATCATGAAAAAGTGGATGAATTGTTTGTTGTTGGGGGAATGTCAACAGGAAGCATTTGTTTCATGGAGTGTTGTGCTAATGAGCTGAATTCTGTGGGAATACTTCAAGGAGGACACTCTGGCACCATCCGCTCTTTCTGCTGGAATACGGTTGATAATTCTCTGTTGACAGGAGGAGAGGATGCGGAGTTGTTGCTATGGAAACCAGGAGCTACAGAAAAAGCCTCGAGTAAGAAGACTCCTATGAAAGTGGTTTCCTCTGTCTATCAGCGAGTAAAAGTTCATCAACATTCCTTGAAAAACAAGAAAAAATGAAAGAGTTGAAGAGGAGGGAATTCCATTTTTAATACTTCAAAAGAGATGGCTGTGTGCGTGTGTGCTGTAGCAGAAACAAAAAAAGAGTGGATGCAATTTAAAGGCAGTTGAATGTGATAACTTGTGTGTGGACAAGAATCTACTTCATTGTGCACAGAAATTTACGCTATAATAAATTTTTTTCTATGGTGCAACCTGCTTGTATGAGCTGACTTTTCAAAAAGTTGTGGTACTTTTAAAAGGCTGAGTTTTCTAAACTTGGGTACTGTTTATGCTTTTACCCTGAACAATGTTTACTCACTCAACTGACACCAATGGGTCCCAGCTTCCAGGTAGGATTGATCTTCCAGTATGAGGAACATACACAAGAATGTATCACTTTACTATTTAGTACCCAAGTTGCTACTTGTAGTTTCACTTGTATGCTGCAGTGAATGGTATTTTTGCAAATCATTGGAGTATTGATACATGCAGGGAGGTGGGACTTGAAGCAGTCCTGGTCTGTGATAGTGAGGAAGCTGCAGCAGAGTGCTTGGTGGTCTGTAGGCCATACTTGGGGGAAAATGGGCTTAAATTTTATCTCAGTATTCTTAAAAAATGGATGCCAGTAGTGAGGAGGAGGAGGAGGAGGAGGAGGAGGAGGAGGAAAGTCTGCTTAAATAACCTGATGAAGCAGACTTCCCCCTTACCCACCAAAAGAGATGAAATTACTTAAAGAACAATAATGATACTTAAGGACACTTCAAATGAGATATGAATTGTAATTAGTTAAACATGTTATTTCCACTCCATCCCTAGATTCTGTAAAATTTGATCTTTATTCTGATTTGAAATATATTTTGATCTAAGATGGGAAAAGAATTGCATCTCTTTTTCTGAAAAAAAAAAACAATTTGGAGAGTAAAATCAAAGGACTTTAGGGTGATGGATTGGGATTTTTTGCCTCTTGAATATTTAGTAGTAGAGTATCCAGTTTTTCTTTGTTGTGTAGTCATCTATATGGTGGAGGCTGGCAAATTGGTGCCCACACTGTCAGGGCCTGCATCGCCACTAGATGGCACCCCCTATTCTATATTTTGAAAAAAATATTGAGAGATAGCCAAGTTTTGCAAGACTATTCAGTGTTGTTATGTCAGTGCTTATGAAATTTCGTTGTGTTTTTTTTTTCTATTTCCAAAATTGAGTTTTTAATATTTTATTTGTGTGAAGAAGCCTGCTATCTGATAAGGTGGTTGAGCCTTGATTTATATGGAACAGATAATATTTTGGGGAGGCTATTCTATTTTGTGTACTTTCTTTTGAAGACTTGTCTGTAACTCAGCTTGCACAAGGCACCACCATCACTACACTAGGATTCACCTATCTGGAACTCTTCACTTTAACCTAAGATTTAAGCAACAATCTAGAAAACTTTTATTCTGAGTGGAGGGAGAAGAGAACTTTAAGCTTAAGAATTTTTTAAAACCGTTTTTGGTGGAGGGAGGAGGAAAACCCTAATCTGCCAGAATGTTGACTGCCTTTAAGATCAGAACTTTTTAAACTATATGTACTCCAAGTGGCTATCCAATCATACTTTTATTATGCAATAAGTTCTGTCTCCAGCATTAGATCATTACAATATATCACACCGCTACAATATACTATACCACTTCAAATCTTTGGCGGCTTCTGATTCCCCCATTCAGTTCCAAATCAAGAAGAAAAACTCTTTGTTTTAACCTGTGCAGAGCTTTCCATGCCTTCTCTGTAGCAGCACCTGCCTTCTAAAATGAGGTTCCCCCCAAGATCGAGATGGACCCCACTCTGCTGTTGTTTAGAACTTGCTCTTCACCCAAGTCTTCGGCAAGGGAGAGTGAGACCACTCATTTCATTGTGCTTGCCATCCTTCTTTATGTTTTATTTTAATTTGTTTGATTGTTAAGTCATTGAGAGTCAGGGGGCATACAAGTTTAACAGATGATGATGATGATGATGATGGTTGGTCGCACAGTCAGCCAGATGTTTATACTGGATTTGGCATTTTTATCCACCTATCAAGTCCTTCCCAAGTACTTGGGGTAGGCAAATGTTTGATGGTGTTAAAGGTATCGTCACAGGATATAAACTGTTCCAAGTAAAACTGCCTTTCGCAATTGATGGATGGTGATTTTCTCAATTATTATCATTATTAGTCCATGATGATAAAACCAACCAGAATCAGTACTTACTGATCTCCAGAACCCATTTTTTGATAAGAGAAGTTTGAGATGATAGAATTTAAGAATAACATATATTAAATATTAAGTAGATGATATATGACTTCCTTATGGCTAATTTTGTTCAAAGATTCAGCTGCATATGAGAGTGTTACAAAATTTCTAGTAGTCTAAAAATATTTGCAGTTCCACAAGTTTCACCCCTGATAATTAGAAGCAATTTAAAAGAAGCCTTGTGGTATATAACTTTAGGACTCTTGGTTATGGTAAATGGATGCTGCAGGTTTGTGTAGTTTCTTCTATTTTTGTATAATGGTAAGATCAAAGCTCCCATCTCCCTCCTTGTTGCAGTCCCTCACTCCTTTTCTCTTCCCTGACATAACTTTACATTCTTCATTTCCATAGGCTTCAACTGTTTTTGCTGCCTCTCTAGCACTAGATTTGTTTTAATTAAGAAACTATGTACTTTAACATGTTATAATGCACTCAGAGTATGCTCACAATGTTCTTTAAGTATTTATGTTAGTATTTTCCTTTACTTTAGAATTGTCAGCAGCTCTATGGTTCAGATTATTCTCTCTGCCATGGATAGACTTCTGTTTGCTGAAGGGTTGAAATCAAGCAGATAAGACCTAGCTGCAGGGGTGAGATTTTAGCAGATCCTCCACTGTAGCTCCTCTCACACTGTTCCACTGGGGCTTACAGTCTTCAGGGCAGATTTTAGGGGGCACAGAAAGGAGAAGTCATTGAGATGTGCCCCTGTCCCTCCAATGAGTGTCCTTTGAGTGGACTATGGGAGCTTTCTTTTTGAAAAATAATACGGCAAAAAGGTTTAAGTAAAAATGCATTCTTAGGATTGTCAGGAAGTTTGGAGCTTCTTGGCCAGTAGACCTGGCATAAAATACTAGGTGTTTCATTTATGTAATTGCCTAATCAACAGAGCATCTTTTTTGCTGTATTTCAGGTTCTAACATTGACTACTGACCCCTGGTGACTATGTATTGGCTTAAATAGGTCTGAATTTAGCTTTGGCCTCCTTCCAAACTGCCGTGATCTTCCCCTGCTTGAGGACAGAAAGAATAAAAGAGTTTAAGGTTATTGCTAGATGTCCTGACTGTAACAGAGTTTTAATAGATTTGAAGCTACGTGTTATCTATTTCAAGGAATGTGCTTCAGCATAACTGTGGAGGGAATCAGTTGATATTTTTATTTCCTTAACCTTATGGTGATATCTTCATAGAACTGGGCATGTGGAAGGTTACATACAGTATTGCCTGATGAACTTTGTAAACACTTGTCAAGAACTCGGAGGTATCAGTGTCCATTTTTTCAACAAGAAGAAATATGTTTCACTTAATGTCTAAATAAACAAATTTGTACTTGCCTTTTAGCTTTCTTTTGCAATTGAATGTGGAAAACATTCTTTCAACTTGAAAAAGGATAGAAAAATCTAAATATTGGACAGGATGTCAAATTTTATAATCACAAATTTTAAAACCATATGTAAACATTATATCATTTAAGTATTGTGGAAATAAATGCATTTTGAGACAGTGCTGTGTGTAGATGTTAGTTAAAACATAAGGATGTAATACAAGAGCCATGAAGTTAGATCAAAGGTGACAGGAGCACATTGCAGTAAAGCAAATTTCCTAAATTTTGTTGACAGCTAAGAAATGTTCCCTGTGTGTAGATGAAGTCCTCTCCTGCTTCACTGCACTTCATTTCAGACAACTCTCTCTCTTCCCGTAATGGTCACTGCTACTATCACTCTGAGTCCACCCATAATTTTCACTGCTCCTACTTTAAGTAGCGTTGGCTATTGTGTATGAAGGGGGATAGCTGTAGCCACAAAAAGCCTTGTTATATAGAAATGTCTCTAATATAAAAAGTCACCTGCAGAAGACTGATTTTAAGGAATTTTACATAGTTGGGAAGCTATCTTACTGTTGCAAAGCAGCTAATAGAATATAGCTGGAGTCTACCCAGCAGCTAATAGAATATAGCGAGTCCTATAATGTTATGGGGGGGTGTCTGCACATGTCTGTTTTGCAGGAGCTTGTTTAGCAATAAATCATTCACAGTAAATCCAGTTAAAGCTTTATAAGCAGTGCCTGTTCAAATAGAAAATGAAAAATATTTTGGAGTTATTCAACTTGTACATTGAGTTTTTCATTCATTTATGAAAGGATGGCTTTGCTAGTCATGAAGCTTGAAGATTGTGTCTCAGTATGCTGAGAATATTATCCAAATACTTATACTGGAGTGAAAGCTAAAAAAGAGACTCCAAGAAAAGTAACTTACTTGACCCATTTAGTTTATTGTATCTACAATAAGGATGCAGAGATACCTAATTCAGATTCAAAATCAACACACTAGAAAATCTGATGAAGTAGATATAAAGTTAATAATTTGATTTGTAATATTTACATCTCATGTTTTTCATTAGAGGTAGTCCTCACTTACTGACCGCTTTCAGCAACCATTCGAAGTTACAATGGCACTGAAAAAGATTTACGACCGGTCCTTGAAATTGCGGCTGTTGTAGCATCCCTGCGGTTAAGTGTTCACAATTTGGGTGCTTGGTAACCAGCACACATTTATGATGGTCGCAGTGCCCTGTGGTCATGCGATCGTCATTTGTGGCCTTCACAGCCAGCTTCTGACAAGCAAAGTCAATGGGGAAACTGACAAGAAGTTGCAAGTCACAGTCGTGACATCACATTTAACAACCGTGGGTGATTTACTTAATGACTGCAGCCGGAACTGATGTTGTAAGTTGGTGCAGTCACATGACGTTTCACTTTATGACCACGTTTCTTAGTGATGGAGTCGGTCCCAATTGTGGTCAGTAAGTGAGGACTACCTGTACTTATAAAACTTATATACCATTTACCATATCAAAAAAGTATTTCAAAGTTGTGCCCACCTTTAATAATATTTAATAACATATTAATAAATTAATAACATAAATTAATAACATAAACAACATAAATAAGAGTGCCTTTTCTGCCGTAGTGCCTGCCCTACAGAAGTGCCTGCCCTACAGAACATCCTCCAAAGATTAGGATGGCCCTGACCCTGCTGACCCTAAGACCCTAAAGACCTGGTTATGTGCCCGGGCCTGGGGCTCAAGTGTGTGAAGGGTCCCATCTCCTGGTTCTCTTAACAACCATGGATTGTAACACTTTCCTCAGCTGCTATATTTTAATTTTTGTATTATGATGGAAATTTGTTTTTAATTTATTTTATGATTGTTCGCTGGCCAGAGTCACATGTTGAGATGGGTGGCCATACAAATTGAATAAATAAATAATGTTATTTATAAATAATGTAAATAATGTTAACCAACCAGTATACTCCATTGCTACTTCAGAAATTTCTCCATTAGTAAAAGACAAGTAATCTGTAGATGCTATTATTCGTATTGAAGCTATTTCCCAACAGAAAATGTATGTGAGAAAACCAGTCCTAATGCAGATTATTTCCTTCTGACAGACCTCCTACTGAGTAGCTTTTTCCACTATCCCTCACTATATAGCTTTCTGGGTTGAGGATGATGGTGAAAATAATGTTCTGTACTTTTTCAGGGCTAGGAGTCTGTATTTAGTGTGGGGATGAAGCAGTTCAAGTAGCAGAGGGCTGAGTTTTAAAGAGACAAGCCTGGCCCCATTCTCTGTCTTTATCTGTGAGAAGAATTTCAATTCATTCCAACTTGATGTGGAGCCATTGATATATGATCATTGGGTATGATTGCTTACCCAGCTCTGTAGCCACATTTTGGCATTTCTCTACTAGGGCTGTATGGGAGACATTGTTGTATGCTTTGCTGAAATAAAGAGGAAGAGGGAAGGGAAGTTGGAGAACAGATTGAAAATTCCACCTTTCCTCCTGTAACAGATCAGGCTTTGTAAACCCAGTAGATTACAACAAGATAATAGAAATAATAAAATCTAAGCATTTAAAAGGACTTTGGAGATTATCTAGTCCAACCTTCTACCCAGTACAGGAATCCATTCCTACAACATCCCTGATAGATAGCCATTTAGGTTCAGGAAGTTAGCATCCAGAGAAGAAAAGTCCATTACCTCCCAAGGCAGTCTGTTCCATTCTTGAATGGCTCTTAAAAAAAAATTTTTTCCTAGTGGCCAAGCAAAATCTCCTACTTTGTAATTTACAACCATTGCTTCTTGTCCTGTCTTCTTGAACAACCCTGAACAATTTTTCGTCTTCTATATGACATCCCTTCAGATACTTGATTAGCACGATGACTCTCTTCTCCATGTTAAACTTACTCAGTGCCTCTACTTGTTCCCCATAAGTTTTTCTTTCAGGCTCCTTATTATCTTGATTGCTGTCTTGTGACTATACTCTTTGTCAATGTCCTTCCTAAAATGCAGTGCCTAGAACTGGACACAATATTCAGGGTGTGATCTGACCAGTGAAGAATAGCAAGGGTTAATAACTTCCCTTGTTTCTGACACTCTACAACAGGGGTTCCCAACCTGGGGTGCCCACACCCCAGGGGGTGTGAGATGGAATTTCAGGGGGTGTGACAAAGAGTGGCTTGTGTCCCTTAGTGACGAGTCACGAGTCATTACTCAGCCAGCTGCCAGTGTGCCTTGAGCACCACATCTTCAAGTGTGAACATTAATCAAACATTTCCTAGGAGTGTGGGGTA